TGGAACAGTTAAAATGGGAAATAGCAAATGAATGGGATGACAATTTTTTTTAGTTTCACCGTACACTTTTTTGAACTTATGTGTTTTAGTCTGTCTTTTTTCTGGGGAACGGCGTATCGCTAAACAAACCGTACAGCAATCGTGCCGTTGACTTCTATTCTGAGCCACATATCTCAGCGTCTCTAGACATCGTCAATCCTCATCCCTTGGGCCCCAGCCTGGAAGGCGGGCTGCACCAACCGAAGCGAGAGCTGAAGCCAGCTTCTTCATACCTATACGCCATGTCATGGTCTGATCGCCGCGAAGTTTCACCTGCGTCTTTCTGGGGACCCTGAGGCTGCAGCTTCCGGTCTTGCTGGCGTTGGTGTGGCTCTCAGTGATAGAACTGAAGCCGCGCTCTTGGACTGGTTCCCAGTCGACAGTAGGTTGTGCGCAGTGAGACTTAGGAGTGCGTACGAAGTAAGCAACCGTCGCCCGGACAGACGAAACCTGTTTGTTGTGTCGGCGTACGCCCCAACCGACTGCAGCCCAGATGCAGTCAAAGATGAATTTTATCGTAACTTACACGACCTCTTGCGTAAAGAGAATCGGGCTGATTTCGTGATTTTAGCAGGTTATGAATGTCAGAGTAAGCCCACTGACTTAGACTGAGGCGAATCTGGGTGGCCCTTTCGGACTAGCTTCCTGCCGCTCGGAAAACGGGGAAAGGCTGTTGGCTCTCTGTTCCGACCACCGCCTATTCCTCGCCAGTACGAACTTCAGACGTTACAACTGCCGATACGCCACTTGGCGTCCACGGGTCAGCGACAAACGCAGATAGACCACATCATCATAAACCACAAATGGCGGGGTTGCATTCAAGACTGTCGATCGTACTGGAACACTCCCCTCCAATCCGACCACGCGTTAGTTTGCGCCAAGCAGTCTATGTGCTTCGGTGGGCGTTCTAAACGTACAGCACAGCGGCGGTTAGATTGCGATAAGTTGTCTCAACCAGCACGCCTAACTGTTTTTCAGAACGAGCTAGCTGAAAAGCTAGAACCAACCCCACCCGGCGACGTTAAACAGCACTGGTCGCTCATCAAGAATGCTCTGCATTCCACTGTCTTAGTTATTTGTAGTCTGACAAGCCGTGTCGTGACACCCTGGATTTCGGCTGAGTTTCCGCGCCTTCTTGACGTACGTCGGTCACTTCCAACCGGCAACGAGCATAACGTAACACGGTTTGTGATGAGGCGTGGACTTAACGTAAGCCTACGCAGAGATCGCGAGATCTGGTGATCTGAACGCGCATTAGAAACGGAACGTGCCGCTGCCATGGGAAATTCCCGTAAGCTGTTCCATCTCATCCGAGTCATCGGTAGGAAAACGTTGGGTGTGAGCGAGACGATCTAGGATGCTGACGGCTCGCCCATTAACAATCAACAGCGACATCTTGAACGTTGAGCGGAGCACTTCAAGGCACAGTTTAGCTGGCCACCAAAGCCAGCTTTTCACACAGCTATTCCGGCACACGTCCCATGGACTGTTTAAACAGACCCACCCTCTGAGGCAGAAATCCAAGCCTTGGGACGTCACAAAGCGCCTGGCTCCGATGACCTTCCCCCAGCTCTATTTAAAGATGGTGAAATAAAGCTTGTTAGAGAAGTTCACGTCCTGTTCTCTTAAGTTTAGAACTTTGAACAGGTCTCCTCCTCGTGGGGGGAGTCGATTGTCGTCCGCATCTTCAAAAAGGGCCCGCGCAATAACTGCGCCAATCATAGAGGTATAAGCCGGATTCCAACAGCATCAAAGCTGTTAGCGTCCGTCATTCTTCCTCGATTGTACAAAACGCGCGAGGAGCAGGCTGGATTTCGTGCCGGTCGTGGATGCATCGATCAAATCTTTACCCTCCGACAGCTGCTTGAGCACCGCACTATGAAGGTGTTTGATGATGAATGGAGTACCTGAGAAGTATGTGTCCACCCTCAAAGAGTTGTATCGCCATACACCAGGTCGGGTTAGGGCTTATGGCCAGCTTTCAAAACCCTTCGCCATCTCCAGTGGGGTTCGACAAGATTGCCCTATATCCCCTTTCCTTTTCAACTTCGCCATGGAGGATGTTATGCAGGACGCCTTGTCCGGTTTAGCAGACGGTGGAGTCGAACTCCTCCCAGGGACCAGAGTTCTTGACTTAGAATATACTGATGACATCGCCTTGGTGGGTGACAATGCACAGATATTCCAACAAGCTTTACACAGCTTGGTGACAGGGGTATCCCGGTATGGTATGTGCTATGCACCTTCAAAGTACAAAGTGCTGGTTCAAGGCTGGCAGGAGCCCGTGACTGCACTCATCCTCTACGGTGATCAGCTGGAAGTAGTTGAGAGTTTTAAGTACCTCAGGAGCTTGATCGCAGCTGGTGTTGGCGTCGGAGAGGAGATCACATCACGAATAGCGAAGGTTATAGCAGCTTTCGTCAACCTGCGACACCTGTGGCGTCACCGTTGTGTATGCGCTGGAGAATTTCAATGATTACACATTTGGTAGCATTTCTTTCTCAATCTGGGTGTACCTTTGTTCACTTTACGAAGGTGGATTTGGCCTCTGCGTTTTGGCATTTAGAGCTGGACGATATATTGAGCTACTTGACCACTTTTGGCACGCCACTCGGGCGATATCGTTGGAAAAGACTGCCATTCGGTTTGAAAGTGTCAAGTGAAATTTTTCAGAAACGAATCCTCCAAGCGGTAGGTCATCTACCCGGTGTATTGTGCGTGGCGGACGACATTTTAATTTTTGGTAAAAATGTAGATGAACACAATGGACGGTTTGAAGGCTTTTTACAACGTTGTATACGAGACGGAATCAAGCTGAAACAGGACAAGCTAATCTTTTGTCAATCGGAAGTCAGCTTTCACGGTCACGTACTTACGAGCGAAGGGATCAAACCGGACCCGGAAAAGGTAAAAGCGATTGTAGAAATGCCTCCCCCAACTGATGCAAAAGGCGTATCACGATTCAATGGAATGAAAAACTATCTCAGCAGATTTCTTCCAGAACTAG